CCCAACCAGGGCTGTGTCAAGCCTGACCTTAAAAACCTCTAAGGAAGGAGATTCCACCACATCCCTAGGTAAAAGAGGAGAGGAGGTGAGATCACCTGCCCACTGCATTGCACCAGCTGGACTGACACAAAGAAGGGAGCAATCTGCAACATCCTAACAGGAATCTTCCCTTTCCAAACAGATACGGCTCTTTTTTTCTAGCATGGTAGAGTGAAAAGTTAATTTTGCATATTTTTAATGCTAAAGAAATCAACAGGCTTACCCAGTGCAAGGTGATTGACTAGAATGTGAAAAGGTACAAAGAAAGGGAGAAAAGTTTCATAAGTTGTGTAATGAAGTTATCCGTCACTGTCACATTGGGCATCTCTCTTGAACCTTAGAATAAAAACTGGTTGGCACTGGAGGTATATTTGAACTTTCAGGTAAACAAATGAGTAACTTACATAGGTGAATATAAGTCTTTTCAAGGGAAAACTCTAGGGCAAATTACTTACTTGTCATAGCCTCCTCCAGCTCCCTTCCCTTTAAAGATGTAGGACCAGCAAAATGTTTTAGTTTTTGTCTAAATAAAATATGACTTCTTTTAATGTCTTATGTGTGCCAATTACATTTCTCTGGTGAGCCAGATTATGGAACAAAACCAGACAGGCTGCTGCAAGATAATTGGCATAGAACATTTAGGAAGAAAATCAGAAGGCAAATGAAAGACAGTCTTCCTAGGAAAAACAGAAGTACTGTCAAAGAGTACTGTCAAACCTCATCTTTCCAGATCTTGGCACCAATGGAGGACTTCCATCAGCAAGTGGCTACTCCCAATACCATATTTCCTGTTTACATAGACTTCATGTTTTCACAGCAGTCCAAAATAAGTTGCCCCAGGACGCAGCACAACCAGAAGAGTGTCAAGTGGATAACCTGGAGTTCCAGAATATTTAAGGTGAGAAATGTATCCTCCAGTGACCAAAAACTGCAAAGAGAACTGGTTGAAAAAGGGCCCACTAAAACAATACCAGGGGGAAGAGAAAACACCATAGTCAATAACACCAGCTTCCTGAAGAACTCCAACAAGGCCCTGGCTGAAATGGACTTGAGTAAGGAATTCTTCATAGATTACAGAATGCCATCAGGAGAACAGAACTCCGTCAAAATATGTGGGTGAAAATGTCTCCAAGAGACAGGTTCACATTAGGGTGACCATACGTCCCGTTTTGGCCGGGACAGTCCCTTTTTAAAGCCGTATCCCAGCCATCCTGTCTTTTTTGGCTAAAGTGAGGTGCAGTGTGGAGAATGTGTGGAGGGGAAGCAGAGATTCCAGCCCCATGCAGGGAGGAAGGCAAGGCTCTGGCAGGGGGGAGGAGGAGGAGGAAGGGTTCCAGTGTGAGGGGGACAGGCAGGGTTCAAGCGACCAGCAACAGTCTCAAGTGCGGGGGGAGGAGAGTGTCCTCTGGCAAGCAACTGGGATCAGCCCCATGGGGGGGGAACATGGTTCAGGCGAGCAGCTGGGACCAGGCCTGCACAGTGTCCTATTTCCCTTTGGGAAATATAGTCATCCTATTTCATATAGGATGCAAAATCTTAGAAGATACATGATTTCTTCCTCAGGAACAAATCATAGGAGAAAAGGAATGTAGGCTCTGGGTGCCTTAAAGCAGAATCCAGAAGAAGCCCTCCTGTAAATAAGAATCATTCCTAGAACAAGAGGATCTGGAACAGTCTCAAAAGAAATTTTTCCAAAATGACCATGTAGAATCATAGAATTAGAAGGGACCACAAGGGTCATCTAGTCTAATCCCCTGCCAAGATGCAGGATTTGTTGTATCTAAAACATCCAAGACAAATGGCTATCCAGATAGTAGTATATGTTATAAGACAATTGGTCCTTCAGCCTGCCAGAGAAAGAATAGGAGTAGAATTGATCCTCATCAACAGGTCATCCAGGTAGGAAATCGCTAATACTAGGATTTTGATGAAAACCTATAGGGATAATGCTAACCTGAATGGATGGGACCATCACTGAAAGTTGGATGAGCCTGGTTTAATATTGATGAGAGGACTGAACTGATACCTGGGGGTATGAGTCCTTCAGATTAAATACAAAAAATCCAACATGCACAGAGTTTGTTTCATGCAGAGGTGAAGCTCACATACCCTGTTCTTTGGAAGGTGGAGGTCTACAATGAATCAAAACTCATCTTCTTCCATACAAATAAACAACAAGAGTAGAAGCCTCAATTCTGGTGCAATGGCCAATTTGGCTAATAATTGACATTACAAAACCTAAGTTACAATGTTCAAGTGGGGAAAGGGTGCTACTGGATGATCTTAAGCAGATGACCTCAAGAATCCAGACATCTATAGTGTTGGTCCATCCCTTCAAGGGGAAAAAAAAATCACCTTCTGATCAAGATGGGAGAGGTAAACACAACTGGTGGGTCTGATGCTCCTTCAGAATTGTATGGTACCCAAGAGCTCAGACTAGAAAGAAGCCCTGTCAGCAACGTTTGGCCTGACTGTGGAATACCTACCCTGGCCAAAAGAGACACACCTATAGGAGACAGAAATGAACCAGAGGAAAAAAGCAAAAATGGAAAAGTAGGTTGCCTACCAAATTAGAACAGATGAGGTTTCCGGGATTGTTTAGGTCACTGAGGAAAAGGAGACCTTTTGGAGTCCAAAATTCTTTGATCAACTCATGGAGGTCCTCTTCAAACAATTTCTTGCTGTTGATGAGATACTAGCAACTTTGGACCAGAAGCAGGTCTCTATAGTCCAGGACTGGAGTAAAAGGTAGTGGTACCTTTGAAGGAACATGTATCTGGTCCATCATCCAATTAAGCTCTTACAAGCTAAAAATTCTCAGTATTAGATGCATGACATACATTTTGGCAAGTAGTGACCTTTAATACACCTTTTTTGAGGTTATAAATGCATAAGGTGTTAATTTTCTCATGAGATATTTTAAAGAGTAATTGTTCATATCTTTGAAGGATTAAAAAGTGCTAAAAGAAAAACACATTAAAATTTCAGCAAAGGATTTTAAAGAACTAGATTAAATATTAGACATTTTTGCAAAAGGCAATATAAAGGCAGCTAATAATGAACTTCAAAAAGTAAAAAATTGGCCTTACAGAAGTTACATGCATTAATTGCTGATCCAGATAAAATAAAAGCTAAAGTGTTCGCTCCAAAATACAAAGTTGATCTACAGCGATTTATGAAGATAATAAACTATTTGGCAAAATTCATTCCATATCAAAACTTTAATTTTATGAAAATATCATTGGTTTAGAGAAAACAGCCACAAATAGGCATTTGAGCAATTAAACACAGATGTACAATATATCAGTTTTAAAATATTATGATTTAATTAAGCAGGTTGCATTCCAATAGATTTATCTGTCAAAAGACAAGGTATATGCCTTAATGCAGGAAAGTAGTCATAAGAGCATAAAAGTTGCCATTCTCGGTCAGATCATGGCCCATACTACCCAGAATCTTGTCTTTGACTGGCCTGTACAAGAGCTTCAGGAGGAGTCTACAGAGGGGGGCAGTTGGAGTGATCCTCCCCTGTCTTCCATGCTCCACTTCTGGTAGTCGATTAAATTATCCAGTTGAATTATCCTCTGATACCACTCCTGCCCCCAGTGTCATGCTTCTCCTGTTTGATTACCCCCAGGCACTGTTCCCCAAGGCCATCCCAAGAGTGAGCCTGTTGCAACTGGGGAGCTGTTACCTCCCACTCTTACTCTAGCAGGTGCCAGGAAGAAGCCTCTTCTACTCCTCCAGGCAGTGAGAAAAGACACCTCTCACCTCTTTTGCCATCCTCTGCTCTGCACTGGCAGAGCCTCTCACCCCTTCCCTCACTGTGAATGCTGGCAGGTGATAATTAGGTGTGGAGAAAGTGAACAAGGAAGTGTTATTTTCCCCTTCACATAACACAAGAAACAGGGGTCACCTAATTAAATTAATAGGCAACAAGTTTAAAACAAAAAAAGGAAGTACTTCTTCACACAAGGCACAATCAACCTGTGGAACTCATTGCCAGGGGATGTTGCGAAGGCCAAAAGTACAATTGGGTTCAAAAAAGAATTAGATAACTTAATGGCGGATAGGTCCACCAATGGCTATTAGCCAAGATGGTCAAGAATGCAACACCATGTTCTGGGTATTCCTCAAACTCTGACTGCTAGATGCTGAAACTGGACCACAGGGGGTGGATCACTCAATTGCCTGTTCTATTCATTCCCACTGAAGCACCTGGCATTGGCCACTGTCAGAAGACCTGATACTGAGCTGACGATAACAATTCCTTTTCACATAAACTTTCAGGGTTTTGACATTTGGTTTTGTTCCACATTAGAACAAAAACACAATCTTTCAAACATTTTTACAAAACTGGTGTCAAAATATTTATTTTTATATCATAACTTGACCTTTTCCAATTTAGGCAGTCAGGTGTGTGCATGTAGCCTGCTGGTTAGGGCACTGAGCTGGTTCGAGTCCCTGCTCTATCTGATTCAGAGGAAAGTTTTTCACCCCAGTCATTCTAATCAGACACTTGATCTTAGGTCTCCCACCTCCTGAGTCAGAGTATTTCAGTAGCATTGTTGAAACCAATATAGCTCCATGAAACCTTTTGAGTTTGACAAAATGAAATTTCCAACCAGCTGTACTTACTTAGAAGCCTAACTTTAGGCTTTGTCTGAAAATCTTGGCCTGAGGCAATAATTTTCACACGTGGGTACCTAAACTTAGGCATTTAAATCCATATTTAGGAATCTAAAAAAATGGTATATTTACAGAGATGTTGAGCACCACCTCTCATTGACCATAATGGGAGCTGTGGGAGAACTTGTTTGTTTGTCCTCCAGGAGTTGAATGGAAGTGTTCTGGATGGTTTTAGCCCACCAACACATTCAGCTGAGCCATTATATGTCTGCACACTCGCAGCAGCCAGAGCCATCAACATGGATCCTGACCTGGTGGAAAAAAATTCTCACCTCACATTGTCAGTTGTATTTCAGGAATCAGGAGGAGCATCTGTGAGATCCTGGTGGACATTCCAGTGGTAGTTTTTGACCTGCCGAAGATACATCTGGGAATATAAGAACATAAGAATGGCCATACTGTGTCAGACCAAAGGTTCCATCCAGCCCAGTATCCTGTCTACCGACAGTGGACAATGCCAGGTTCACTCACCATCCCTGTTCATCCTGGCTAATAGCCATTGATGGACCTATCCTCCATGAACAAATCTAGTTCTTTTTTGAACCCTGTTATAGCCTTGGCCTTCACAATGTCCTCTGGCAAAGAGTTCCACAGACTGTGCATTGTGTGAAAAAAAACCTTCCTTTTGTTTGTTTTAAATCTGCTGCCTATTAATTTCATTTGGTGACCCCTAGTTCTTGTGTTATGAGAAGGAGTAAATAACATTTCCTTATTTACTTTCTTCACACCAGTCATGATTGTATAGACCTCAATCATATCCCCCCTTAGTCATCTCTTTTCCAAGCTGAAAAGTCCCAGTCTTATTAATCTTTCCTCAGATAAGCTGTTTCATACACCTAATCATTTTTGTTGTCCTTTTCTGAACCTTTTCCAATTCCAATGTTTTTTTTTGAGATCTGTAAATACTGCATGCAGTATTGAAGATGTGGGTATACCATGGATTTATATAGAGGCAATATGATATTTTCTGTCTTATTATCTATCCCTTTCTCAATGATTCCCAACATTCTGTTCACTTTTTTGACTGCCACTGCACATTGAGTGGATGTTTTCAGAGAACTATCCACATTGACTCCAAGATTTCTTTCTTGAGTGGTAACAACTAATTTAGACCCCATCATTTTATATGTATAGTTGGGATTATGTTTTTGAATGTGCATTACTTTGCTTTTATCAACATTGATTTTCATTTGCCATTTTGTTGCCCAGTCACCCAGTTTTGTGAGATCCTTTGGTACCTCTTTGTAGTCTGCTAGGACTTAACTATCTTGAGTAGTTTTGTATTATCTTCAAATTTTGCCACCTCACTGTTTACCCCTTTTTCCAGATCATTTATGAATATGTTGAATAGGACTGGTCCCAGTACACACTCCTGGGGGACTCCACTACTTACTTCACTCCATTCTGAAAACTGACTGTTTATATCTACCCTTTATTTCCTATCTTAACCAGTTACCGATCCATGACAGGACCTTCCCTCTAATCCTCTGACAGCTTACTTTGCTTAAGAGCCTTTGGTGAGGGACCTTGTCAAAGGCTTTCTGAAAATCTAAGTACACTATATCCACTGGATCCCCCTGGTACACATGCTTGTTGACCCTCTCAAAGAATTCTAGTAGATTGGTGAGGTATGATTTCCCTTTACAAAAACTATATTGACTCTTCCCCATCAAATTATGTTCATCTGTGTGTCTGACAATTTTGCTCTTTACTATAGTTTCAACTAGTTTGCCTGGTACTGAAGTCAGGCTTACTGGCCTTTAATTGTTGGGATCACCTCTGAAGCCCTTTTTTTAAAATTGGCATCACATTAGCTATCCTCCGGTCATTTGGTACAGAAGCTAATTTAAATGCTAGGTTATAGACTACAGTTAGTAGTTCTGCAATTTCACATTTGAGTTCCTTCAAAACTCTTGGGTGAATACCATCTGGTCCTAGTGACGTATTTCTATTTAGTTTATCAATTTGTTTGTCAAACACTCAGGTTATAAACACCTCCAGAGAGGTACCACCACCTTGGGAGACTCACATATACTGTTTCAAAATGTTTTTTCCAGAAATGAACAAAGACAGGGCTTTTGTTTTTTTAAAAAAACTGGGTTTAAAGTGACTCAGGGACTTCTTTCTGATCCAGCAAATGGATAGAACCTTATGTCTAAAGGGGTCCCAACCCTGGCAGAAGAGTTGGAAAGACTTTGGTCGTCTAGGGCCCCATATGACTGAGGGTTTGGTAAACTTTTTGCATGAGTATAGGAACTTATATTGTTTTTATATGTTTTCTCTGTAATGCTTTATCTTAAGTATAAATGTCCTTCCTTAGAAAGAGCTGTGTGGTAACTTGTAACTTTGTGGAAAAATTGGAAAGAGTCCAGTGGAGGGGAACAAAAATGATTAGTGGTCTGGAGCACATGACTTATGAGGAGAGGCTGAGGGAACTGGGATTGTTTATTCTGCAGAAGAGAAGAATGAGGGAGGGATTTGATAGCAGCCTTCAACTACCTGAATGGGGGTTCAAAAGAGGATGGAGCTCAGCTGTTCTCAGTGATGGCAGATGACAGAACAAGGAGCAATGGTCTCAAGTTGCAGTGGGGGAGGTCCAGGTTGGATATTAGGAAACACTATTTCACTAGGAGGATAGTGAAGCACTGGAATGCATTACCTGGGGGTGGGGTGGGGGGTGGAGTCTCCTTCCTTGGAGACTTTTAAGGCCCGGCTTGACAAAGCCCTGGCTGGGATGATTTAGTTGGGAATTGGTCCTGCTTTGAGCAGGGGGTTGGACTAGATGACCTCTTAAGGTCCCTTCCAACCCTGATATTCTATGATTCTATTCTATGAACTGCCAGAAATACACTGTTCATAGCCTTCAAAGACAGAGCAATGCATAGGCTCTGGACTTTAGGCAGACTGGCTTCCTGTGGATATCCCAGTGTAAGGCAGCGAGCTGTGCAGCCTTAAAACCCCATGCAGCAGGGAGAGAGAGACAGGTGGCCACCCAGGAGAGGGTATGGCAGGGAGCTGGAAACTTCAAATGGGTGCCCTCAAGGGACCATGGAGGGCGAATACAAGTGCTGTTACCCTGAAACTGTGGCAACCTCTAAAGATGGTAATTATACAATTTATTCCAAACTCCCTCAGTTAAAAGCCGCCTTGTGCCCTGAAGCATGAGGGTTTATATACCCTCCTAGATTTGGGAAGAAGGGGGGTTATTCTGGATATTTTCATTATCCATATAAATGTCCAGTCCTTTTTTTAAAGTAAATAAATAAAAAACCCTACTAAACCCAAAATTAATCTCCTAAATTCTTATTTAAGCACCTAAAACAATTGTTATTTAGGTGTATAAATATACATTTGAGAACATACTTTTAAGCACCCAATTTTACAAGTTTTGCCCAAAGCATTTATTTTACACTGTTGTGATAAAGTTCCTCCCCTATCTTGGTGGGTCCTACACTTATTGGCAGATTTTCTTGCCTCAGAGATTCACCATGTAGGTTGGGGAACAGCCCAGAGACCTTCCCCTCTGGAAGAACCCACAGTCCAGGTCAATTGGAAGGTTTGGGGAGAACCCAGGCCACCCTTCTACTCCGGGTTCCAACCCAGAGCCCTGTGGACTACAGCTGTCTATAGTACCTCCTGTAACAGCTGCATGACAGCTACAACTCCCTGGGCTACTTCCCCACAGCCTCCTCCAAACACCTTCCTTATTCTCACCACAGGACCTTCCTCCTGGTGTCTGATAATGCTTGTGCTCCTCAATCCTCCAGCAGCATACCCTCTCAGTTCCTTGCTCCTTTTTAAAACCCAGGTGCCCTGATTAGCCTGCCTTAATTGATTCTAGAAGCTTCTTCTTGATTGGCTCCAGGTGTCCTAATTAGCCTGCCTGCCTTAACTGGTTCTAGCAGGTTCCTGATTACTGTAGTGCAGCCCCTTCTCTGGTCACTCAGGGAACAGAAACCCAGTCTGACCTGGGAATCATAAATCACTCTCCTGTAGCCTTCTGCCCTGGAGGGAAGGAGGGAGGTAGGGGGCTGCTCCTCCTCTTTCTCTGCTGCTTGCTGGCTGGCTGTTAGACCCACCCATACCCTTAGGTGCTACAGCCCCTTGGGGGGGGCCTGCTGGCCCACTCCCCAGAGAAGAGGAGGGAGAAACCCCAACCATTGCTCCTGCTGCTGGGAATACCACCACCACCTCCACCTGAGCAGGGTCCTTCCTGCTGGCCACCAGACTGCCGCCTGGAGCTGTTACGTTTACTGCTGGGGAGCTGCTGGAACCCTGAGGAGAAGACGAGGAACATCTGCCAGTGGGGGAGCGCGTAGGAATTCTGCAGACCACTGTGGAGGGGGCCCTCCCGGACTGAGTAACTTTTGAACTGTGCTCTTGTGGTGGGGATCTAGACTGTGTTTGTGGAGACACGGGGGTGTGGCGTGGAGCCTGCCCCCTGGTCCATCTGTGTCCCTCTCCCGTCCCCACCACCCCCATCATCGTTGCCCCTCCACCACCCCCACTGGCTACTTACCATCTACCTTGAGCTCCTGCCTCTGGGAATTCAGCTGCTCGCCTAGGCTTGCTACGCCCTGTTGCCACCATTGGGCCTGATACAGCATCCAGCATCCATGGACTTTCTTTTTGTTACAAGCGCACGTGGGTGCACGTGCCCCCCGTTTTGGACTGACCCCCTTCCCCCTGCAACAAGCCCCCAGCTTTGCCCCTGTTGCCTACCCATTTGCCCCTTGCTGCCTTTTGACCCTCCCCCTTGCCTCAGCCCCTCGCTAGCTCCAGTTTGTTTGCCTGCCCCGCCCTTTCCCTCTGCAGCCTTTGTTTGACCCGCCCCAGCCTCTGAAGCTAGCCCCGTGGTTCCTCTGCCCCATTTCCCGCCTGGTTACTCCCTTCCCCCTGCGGTCCCCTTGCCCTGATTAGCCCCTCCCCTCGTGCACCCATGTCGCCTCCTATGCGCTTGTGCCACTCCCCGTTTTAGTTTAATTCTATCTCACTGCACCCCCCCCCCCAATGCTGTTATTTCCTCCCTTCCTTGGTGTAACAAGAGGAGCCGGAAACCTTCCCTGAGTCGGTGACTGACCCCTAGCCTTGATAGCCCTCCCCATCCACCCCCCCTTTTTTTGCGCCCTCCTCGCCTGCCTACAGCCTAGCGGGGAGGAGTGATCAAACTGCTTCCCCTTTCCCTACCTCCCCTCCAGTGTCTGCTCTTCCCCCGTCCTCATTATGGCAGGGGAAGAGGAGAGTGAGACCCCTCGGGCAGACCCTGCTGCCCCTCCTCCACCCACCCCACCATCATCCCCCCTAGCCTCTACCTCAACCGCCGCTGCCAAGCCACCTACTACCATCCCTGCTGGAGCGCCGGCAGCG